AATGCTATGTGCACTTAATGTTAAATGTTATGTATACTTGGTGTTAAATGATATGTGCTATTGATGTTAAATGCTAAGTGTACTTCATGTTAAATGCTATGTGTACTTGATGGTCCTTTACTTTAAATCGCCTCATTCAGTTTTAGTGCTTTTTTACCCGAGTTAAAGACTAACTTCCAAATCATTTCTACTGTGTCTAAACTTATCTCCTCGTTCTGGACTCACTTCTCATTTCAACATGGCCTGGTCTTGTTTCTAAACTTATCTCATCGTTATGGACTCTCTTCTTCTTTCAACATGGTCTGGCCTTGGGTCCAAACTTATCTCATCGTTCTGGACTCTCTTCGTCTATCAGCATGGTCTTGCCTTGGGTCTAAACTTATGTCATCGTTCTGGACTCTCTTCGTCTATCAGCATGGTCTGGCCTTGGGTCTAAACTTATCTCATCGTTCTGGACTCTCTTCTGCTTTCAGCATGGTCTGGCCTTGTGTCTAAACTTATCTCATCGTTCTGGACTCTCTTCTCCTTTCAGCATGGTCTGGCCTTGGGTCTAAAATTATCTCATTGTTCTGGACTCTCTTCTCATTTCAGCATGGTCTGGTTGCAACGACATCGACGTTGAGGGCAAGTACGTCTGGGCCAACAAGGAACCCGCCAGCGTCACCTTCCTGTGGGCGGCTGGTGAGCCAAACAATTACTACGAGGAAGATTGCGCCTACTTCTACCCCAGCGGTCTGATCAACGACGCCAAGTGTGATGACACCCTGGCCTCAGTTTGCATGTTGGTCTTGTCGTAAATCCATAGGCGTCAGTTGACAACTTCAATGTGTTTGGGGGGAAGTTTGGGAAGACCTCTAATAATATGTTTCTGGAATAAAGGCACTTACGCAATGTTGTGTTTTGATTTTCAAATGTTTATTTATTACACCTTAAAATTGTACGTGTTGAGGATGTGTATTTTTAAGAATAAAGATTTTGTTTATAATATTTTGAATTCACAGTGTCGCTGTTGCCAGTTTCTTAGAGATAACAGAAACTTTTAACGACGTCAGTGATAGCTGATTGTGGATTATATTTGTTGGGTTTCTATTTGCCCCGATTTGGACAAAATAGGTTTCATCTCGGGTCAGGAAACTGAGGCAAAGTAGGTTTCATCTCAGGCTGGGCATTGGGGCAAAGTAAGTCTCATCTCTGGTTTTGGGAATTTGGGGCAAAATAGAATGCATCCCGGTTTGGGAAATCCGGACAACATAGGTCCCATCTCTAGTTGGGCAAAGGAGCCAGAATTATCAATTTAATTCGTCAGATTTTATGTTTGTTCCGTTAATTAGTCAAATGTTACGTTTTGTTGCAGTAATTTACAGTAATTTGCAGTAATAATTGTTTATATACTAATGGATAATTTTGTTTTTTTTATTTTAGTCTTGTTCCAGCCCTTAATAATACTCTCTGCGGTCCTTAAATAGTGAATAAAAATAAAATGTACCGGTACCTAAATGTTTTCAGAGGCGTCAGCACGACTGCTGATATACAACGCTAAAGAAAGGAAAGTTCTCTGAACGAAAAAGTTGGATTAAATTCGCGTTAATTTTCACTTTTTTTTTTTTTGGCCCATGCTACCAAAAGGTAACCAGTATTTAATAACAGTAACGAGACTAGTCCATCGCAGACTTGACCAATAGAAATATAACGACACTGACGGTATGCGTGCACGTTGTATAAATTTGATAGTTAAACTCTAGGCCAAAAGAGGAAGTTTCAACCCCCAAAAAATGTTAATTTTTCCTATTCATGTAATCCAAATGGTTATAAGACGTTCGAAGGGTCCAGTAGAGGTCACTGTCCAGACTATTTCTACTTAATTCAATATTAATGGTTCTCAGCCCTACGAAGGTCTTAGTTACAAAGAAAGGTTGTTCAGCGTCGGCCTATTTGGAAAAGTAAGACCTGCATGCAATTATTGCTTTTCAAATGTCCAACAAAAATAGTTGGACAATAACAAATCACTGTCGTTTATTTTTTTTCCTATTGCAAGATTGAACATTTAAAATGACCTAAAGAACACGAATGACTTGAACAATTTGTAAATTGTCTTATCAATAGACAGTTACTATTTTAAAAGAAATGCCCCAGCCTTGAGAGGTCCCAGGAATGATACATTTGTAGTAACACGAAAATTAAGGTTAAGATAAGTCATTAAAACGAAATCCAAACGATTCTAATTAATTCTATCTTGTTGGTGTTTTATTCGAGCCGGTCATTTCTCACGTTCTTTACTTTAACCTCACACCCCCCCCCCCCTCAAAATGCTTAAGATGAAACTTACTTGATCAGTTTTGATTCTCTTTGGGGTTGTTCAAAAAAAAAAAACTTCAGTCTTCAGTATGGAGTAAACCATTTACCTGTTTGTTTCTGTGTTTCCTTCTAGTTACCATGTCAGGACACAATCAGTTTCCTTCGAATCGTCTTTGACCCATTTTTGCGTATAAAGGTGTGTTCATTTTTACAACCAAAAAAAAAAAAAGTAAGAAATGTACATTTCAAGCCAGCAATTTCACACAACAATCCTAACACTGTCACAACAATCCTAACACTGTCACAACAATCCTAACACTGTCACAACAATCCTAACACTGTTTTTGGGGTCGTATTTTATAACACTTGCAGCAATTTTTTTTTTAAAGAAATAAACAAACAAAACACCCTGGAGTGGTGGGCCTTACCGAGGTCTAAAAATAGAATATCTGGAATTGTGTTTTCTAATTGATCACGTTTACGCGTTTCTATTTCCCTAGTCACACACACACACTCACACAAACACACACACACACATGTACACGCATATGTACACGCACGCCCACACACACACACAGTCCTAAATGTATATACCATCTATTCTACCCTCTCTCTCTCCCTCTCTCCCTCTCTCTCTATCTACCACACATGTTTAAATAAGTATAAATTAAATCTATCACTAAGCATCTCTATTTTGCTATCTATATGTCTATCTTTATATCTATCTATCGGTCTATCTATCATCTATCTATCATCTGTCTACCTAAATATCTATTTTCTCTCTCTCTCTCTCTCTCTCTCTCTCCTCTCTCTTAGAAATTTGTAATTAAGTATATATTCTATCTCTCTTTCTCGCTCTCATTCTCTCTTTCTCTCTCTCTGTCTCTCTCCATCTCTCTTTAAAGTAAGTTTACATGGAGCCAACGTTTGCCAGCTAGTGTTCTTGGTAACCATTGCACAAAGCATGTGCTATTATATTATTATATTACAGTCAAAGCTATCCTTCATCGGACCCGATTGCCTGCCAAGCCGAGATTAAGACAGTTTCCATTTTAAGACCTGCCAGGTCACAATTGGACCAGTCGCTCCTTCAGTTCAGTTCCATGTCATTGTGTCTGTGATTGATCAAGTTAACACCATGTACAAGTTCCTCTCAGTGACCGGGTTTCTTCTCCTCCTGATGAAAATCATTGGACGTGCAGGTACGCTTACATTTAACATGTTGGTCAATTCATTGCATCCTTTGGTCAATTCATTGCTCCGTTTGGTCAATTCATTGCTCCGTTTGATCAAGTTATTGCTTCATTTAGTCAATTCATTGCATCCTTTGGTCAATTCATTGCTCCGTTTGGTCAATTCATTGCTCTCGTGTGATCAAGTTATTGCTTCATTTGGTCAATTCATTGCATCCTTTGATCAATTCATTGCTCCGTTTGGTCAATTCATTGCTCCATTTGGTGAATTCATTGCTCCGTTTGGTAAATTCATTGCTCAGTTTGGTAAATTCATTGATCCGTTTGGTCAAGTTATTGCTTCATTTGGTCAATGCATTGCATCCTTTGATTAATTCATTGCTCCGTTTGGTCAATTCATTGCTCCATTTGGTGAATTCATTGCTCCGTTTGGTAAATTCATTGCTCTTTGGTAAAATCATTGCTCCGTTTGATCAAGTTATTGCTTCATTTGGTCAATTCATTGCATCCTTTGGTCAATTCATTGCTCCGTTTGAGCAATTCATTGCTCCGTTTGGTCAATTCATTGCTGCATTTGGTCAATTATGTTCAACAAACTTATCATATTCGGTGCTGCCAATCTGTTTTTCTAAATGCACTAAGGTACTCAACAAACTTAATATTGCTGCATTTAATATGCCGGTAGCTGTATTGAAATCTTTAAGGGTTTTATGGCCACTTTTGCATATCACACTGTTCGATAATTGTACATCGATGAAGGCTAAACACACGCCCAAGTATTTGTTATTAAACTGAACTATGTTTACTTGTGTTTCAATGCAGTAACTATTTGATATTTGATATTTGATGTTTGATATCATCGTTTTCTTTTTATTATTTACCTTCGGCTCGTCATTTTTGTTTTCGTCAGATGGCCAAATATCATTCAGGATGACGCCATCAGCGCTCCAGGACGGGGCCGCCACGCCCCTGACTTTAAACTGTAGCTACAAGGCGAACTCCTACACAGTTGTGAGTCTTGCCATTAAAAAACTCGCAGGGAACGCCACCGCTCAGATCGCGTCTATAGACGCCAGCAACTCGGTGCGCATCGAAGGTACGGGCTACGGCATCAGTGGCACCAGCGGGCTCGTAGATTTGACCCACGGGTCATTCCTTAGCCTGACGTGGGCGCACCCTGGTGTGAATGAGGTCGGGACGTACACCTGCAGGGCCAACGTCATCAATCACGCAGCGTTCCTGTTCTTCTTCCAGGCGAACAAGACGGTCTCATATTCACTTCCGGAAATCAACGGACTGACCCAGCCTATTCTCGAGTTGGAGAGTCGGCTGAATGACTTGAAGGCGAAAACGATCAACGCGATGAACCTGGTCCTGGCGAGCATCGCTCAGTCCGACGCAAAGGTCGTGTCGTTGCAGAACGCTTTATTCCGAGTGTCCACTCCTTTCCACGACCACCGGTACTACCTGTCACTCTACCAGCCGCACGCGGCGGTCAACGCGGAGTTCGCCTGCGAGGCCCTGGGCGGGTATTTGGCTGAGGTCGACACGCCGGAGGAGTTCCGATTCCTCGGGGGGTTCATAGGGTCCCCCATTCCCAATGGGCACCAGTTTCTTCTCGGCGGCACCGACGCGCGAGAGGAGAACCAGTGGATATTCCGGCACAGCGGGACGTCCCTGGCGTACGTGGAGTGGGGCAAGAACCAGCCGGACAACCGCGAGTACAATAGCGTGAGGGAGGACTGCCAGACGATTGATTACTACTCGCCGGCCGATGGCTTTAAGATGAATGACATGACATGTTTTAAAAACGGCTTTGACGTCGGCATGTACTTTATTTGCGAAGTTCCACTCTGATGACGATTTAATCTTTGTTTGAATTAAAACAATTGTGCACTAAATTCCAAACAGATTACTATTTAAGAACTAAAATCTTTAGATGGAATATCATTTGCCATACGATTGGCCATCCTTTGTGAGGGAGAATGAGTGTAATGAAATATATTATGTGCTTCTTACATAACACTTTGCTTTCTATTTTATTTGATTTAGAGACTGTTAATGAAATATATTTTATTGCTAATAAATTCAAAACAAGAATAAAAATATTTTTGGCACGATTAGATTTATGTTAAAAAAGTTTTGTATCAAAATATTTGAGGAGGTAACCAGGCAATTTGTAATAAAATTTATGGATAAAATTGTCTGTATAGAATACACATTTTCTTACTGCAAACAAAAATAATTATTACATAAGTTGTATTTTATTTAATGATATTGTAGGCTAAAAAACATGTGTAAATGTTTTTGTGGATGGCAGGTGGGACACAGTTCCTTTTCTATGTCACCCCCTCCCCCAGAGAAAAAGAAAAGAAATTGCAATCTACATGATTATAAATATAAGATTTATTTAAAACTTTTACGTTGATAATTATCTAAAAATAATATTAATTGCATTTATAAATGTTACATAGTTATTTTTAGAAGATCTCTTGTAAAATAAAAAAAGTGAATTGGAGAATAATTAAATACGGACATAAAAATAAAAACTATTTTAGTTCAAATTTGTACAAATTCAAAAACTTAACGAAGTGTCTCAACAACATAATGCACACCAACATACGCTCTATGAAACCGTTCAATAAGCCAGCGAGGACGTTTGACGCACAAAGAAGACAGTGTTCCTGGACAGTACGGTCTAGCTGAGAACATGTCTACAACACTAAGTAATATAATCAGTTAGGCTTACTGCATTAATAAGCAGTTAGGCTTACAGCACTAAGTAATATAATCAGTTAGGCTTACAGCACTAAGTAATATAATCAGTTAGGCTTACTGTACTAAGTAATATTATCAATTAGGCTTACAGCACTAAGTAATATCATCAGTTAGGCTTACTGCACTAAGTAATATCATCACTTAGGCTTACTGTACTAAGTAATATAACCAGTTAGGCTTACTACACTAAGTAATATAATCAGTTAGGCTTACAGCACTAAGTAATATCATCAATTAGGCTGACAGCACTAAGTAATATCATCAGTTAGGCTTACAGCACTAAGTAATATAATCAGTTAGGCTTACTGCACTAAGTAATATAATCAGTTAGGCTTACAGCACTAAGTAATATAATCAGTTAGGCTTACTGCACTAAGTAATATAATCAGTTAGGCTTACAGCACTAAGTAATATCATCAGTTAGGCTTACTGCATTAAGTAATATCATCAATTAGGCTTACTGCACTAAGTAATATCATCAGATAGGCTTACTGCACTATGTAATATCATTAGTAGGCTTACAACACTAAGTTATAACATCAATTAGGCTGACAAAACTAAGTAATATTATCAATTAGACTTACAACACTAAGTAATATCATCAATTAGGCTTACAACACTAAGTAATATCATCAGATAGGCTTACTGCACTAAGTAATATCATCAATTAGGCTGACAGCACTAAGTAATATCATCAGTTAGGCTTACAGCAATAAGTTATAACATGCATTTGTCTTGCAGCCAATGTTCCCTTTAAGCTGCGCGGCTGCGCAGCAATCTCACAGACGCCGCGCAGCAGTTTTGAGTACCGCGCAGCTAATTTCCACTTAAGTGTCTGTAGGCTGAAAATTTTGCGCACAAAAAAATTGTTGCTGTAAAAATGTGCACACAACTTTATGATTTTGCACACGAACCAACAAACCTTAGAGGGAACATTGCTTACAGCACTAAGTAATATCATTAGGCTTACAGCACTAAGTTCTAACATGAATTAGGCTGACAAAACTAAGTAATATTATCAATTAGACTTACAACACTGAGTAATATCATCAATTAGGCTTACAGCACAAAGTTATAACATGAATTGGGCTGACAGCACTAAGTAATATCATCAGTTAGGCTTACAACACAAAGTAATATCATCAGTTAGCCTTACAACACAAAGTAATATCATCAATTAGGCTTCAATACTTCAAATTCAAAATATCATTGAACTTTGGGGAGCATCCAGTGTTGAATGTTCATTGGTTTCACATCCACTTAAATCCGTTTGTGTCTAAAGCCAAGGAGTTAGCTGTAGAAAGACATTTGTGTATTGGAGTCAGTGCCGTCTCAGCATATTATAAAACCTGGGCACCGTCCACCGGCTCCTAGTGCGTTTCCTAACATTGCTTGCATAGACTATAATAAAGCAGGCCTGCACAACATACGGCCCGCGGGCCGCATGTGGCCCGCCAGCACCCACTTTGCGGCCCACGAAGTAACGAAATATTCTTTATTCTTATTATTTTCTTAATAGCTTTCCCCCTGACCTATATTCTTTTGGCCCGCATAAGTCTTGTCCTATTTTCTTTTGGCCCGCACACGTTTTTCATAAAGTATTACGGCCCGCCTTACATTTTGAGTTGTGCAGGCCTTCTATAGAGGAATGGGGGACAGAGTGCATTACTTTGTCCACGGCCATCATTGATGTTAAGCCGCGCCTGTTTGAAAAGTTAAATATACAAGACCTTAACATGAAAATACATTCTCATTGACTGACACGAAAAGTGAGGACTTTCTATTTGTGCTGTGGCTACTCATCGTTCTTTCTGTAGTTGTTAATGAAATGCAACAGTTTTGGAGCTCACACCACAAAATATAATTTACTTTGTATCCACCACGAGAGGTACAGGTACGCCAGTTTGAAAACCACTGGTATTAAACGCGATTAAAATCAGGTAGCCTTGCGTCAAGACTTTCATTTCTCCCATCGACCTGACGGTTTACGCGACCTTGACAATGTCGGGCACTGTCGGTTATCTCGTCTGCGTTGTTGCGTCCTTACTTCTAGTGACACAGATTTACCACTCAGGTAAGCCTGGAATCAAATTGTATTGCTTCATTCAAATTGTTAGACAAATGTTTAACTTTTCACGCAAACCCTAGATCGCATATTAACCTGTTTCAATGCAACGACACGTGATTACTGAGCTGGTAAGCTTGAGATGTTTCTAACCACAACATATCTGTTTTTTAAGTTAGATTACCCTTTGTGTACTGCAAGTGTTTTTCTTTTGATTGTACTGTCGTTTAAACTGTCTGGAGTCTAGAAGTTGATCTGACTTGATACTATTTGACTGTTGTTTGCTGGAAACGTGTGTGGTCGTCACGGGACAACAATGTTCTGTCGATGCACTGTGCAAACACGATTTGTGTACGGGTTACGCCCTCTCCGTTGAACCTGATGACAATGCGCCACTAGGGTTGGTGTCACACTCTTCAGACTTACCCATTAATTTCCCTTGTAGCAATCTGCGCTGATGGCACCCTGCTCTGGTGGCACCCTGCTCCGGTGGCACCCTGCTCTGGTAGAAATCTGCTCTGATGGCACCCTGCTCTAGTGGCACCCTGCTCTGATGGCACCCTGCTCTGGTGGCACCCTGCTCTGGTATCAATCAGCTCTAATGGCACCTTGCTCTGGTAGCAATTTGTTCTGATGGCACCGGCCTCTGTTAGCAATCTGCTCTTACGGTACCCTGCTCTGGTGGCACCCTGCTCTGATGGCACCCTGCTCTGGTGGCACCCTGCTCTGATATCAATCAGCTCTAACGGCACCTTGCTCTGGTAGCAATTTGTTCTGATGGCACCGGCCTCTGTTAGCAATCTGCTCTTACGGTACCCTGCTCTGTTAGGAATCTGCTCCGATGGCACCCTGCTCTTATATTTCACTCTGTGTGATTATGAAACCGTCTTGAATCAATTCTGTTAAATTTGCAATTTTCAGTTTGGTGTGTACCGTTCGGAGGGATGTCCCGCGGTGCAGTCCACACCACCCACATACCTCACATACCCCCTTGATCCCCACCCCCAGTGATGATCCTGCTGGACATTGAAGGTTTTCATTTAATAAAAAGGACTTCCGTTTTTTTTTTTTTTTAATCTGATCTCACACGTATCCCCAGAGTTGTTTACCTTGTGAAGCTTCCGGAAAGGGGGGTTACTCTGTTGTCTCACGTGAAATCCTTAGCTGCTACAGAGTATTACTATTATTAATAAGATTTATTGGTCAACCACTTAAGAAGCTTAGTGTGAAATCGTCAAATTTAATTCCCACAGTTACTAAAACTTATTTTCTCCCTTAAGGTGCTCAGAATTAGTTCCTAGTATTAATTTCTTATGTTACAATAACTCATGTTGTTACATCGTAACAGATGCTCAGAATTAGTTCTTAGGATTAATTTCTTATGCTACAATAACTAATGTTGTTACATCGTAACAGATGCTCAGAACTCCCAGGTAACGTTCACCACCTCGACCAACGTCATTGAGACGGGCGTGACGCCATCCCTGACCTTGAACTGCAGCTTCCCCCCACAATCCCCTGTTGGCTACCGCGTCATCTCCATGAGCATCCGGCGAGTGGGCGAGAACTCACCCCTTACTCAGATAGCGACGGTGGACGCCTACGGCCACTTCACGGCGCTAAGCGGCATCAACTACACCGTGCTGAACGGCCACGTCAACTCGACCCAAGGGTCTTATATCAGGTTGGGGTGGCTGCACCCCGGCACATCCATGGCTGGCACGTACATCTGTTCGGCTAACGTCATAGACCAATTGAACAACATCTACCTATTCCAGCTCAACAAGACGGTGACCACAGCTACTACAACTACAAATACGGGCACTACAACAGCTGCGGGGGTCTCAGATTTGATGCAGCGAATCGCTGAACTGGAGACGGCGTTGAACAGTTTGAAAATTGTTGCAGCCGATCAACTGAAACTCTTGGAATCGACACTGGCCCAGAAAACTGCCAAAGCCAATAATTTAGAGGCCGCTCTTTTCAAGAAATCCGCCTACAACGGCCACCAGTATTACCTATCCCTGTACGAGCCTCATTCAGCAGCCGACGCCGAAATGGCGTGTGAGTCTCTGGACGGATACCTGGCAGAGGTGGACACCCAAGAAGAGTTTTCGTTTCTGAAAAGTTTTATAGGAACCCCCATAGCGGACAGCATCGAGTTTTTGCTCGGCGGGACAGACGAGCGACAGGAAGGTCACTGGATCAACCGCCACAGCGGGGGCGTCCTGGGCTACGTGGAGTGGAGCAGCGGCGAGCCGAGCAACAGCGAGCACAACGGCATCAGAGAAAACTGTCAGACCGTCGCCCTGCTCCACGCGGCCCTGAAGATGAGCGACAGCCTGTGCTTTAAACCCACGCCGTTAGGGGGATGGTATTTTATTTGTGAATCGCCGGTTGTAGCCTGAGGAATGCGTGATTTACTGTCAACTCTTAGACTAACAAAAACTGCACGGTGGGAGAGTCCTTTTTTTGTTAGTCTCATCGTCTGGACAACCCTGGGAGATGGTGTAACTCCTATGACTGACAAAAGTCACTGACGGAAGAGTTTGGGAGACATAGAAAACTGTAATACAAATTACTATTTGGTTCACTAAAGTTAACGTGTAAAAAATGAAATACGCTGGTAATTTATTTATTTATATATTTTGTTTAAATGTAAAAAAAAGCCCTCTAAATAAATGCTGTTTTGATGGTATTTTTTCAACAACTAATTGTCATAAGATACAAATAATATTTGAAATCGGTTACGTAGATGTGTCTTAATGGCTGTGACGATTCATAAGAAAACTTCCAATAAACTCCTCAAACTGCAGGATTTTATTTGTAGGTAAAAATTTGTATAAACTAATGTGAACTCGTCGGTGAGATTACAGAAGTTGAGACAAGTTGATAACTCGAATTTCACGTCATTGGCGACACTGACAATATGTGGGTAACTGTTATTTTATCGTCGTAAATGTGGATGCGCTAATGAGACTAATTATTAAGATAAGACAAGTCAAGAGAAGATAAAATAAGACAAGATAAGACAATTCAATAAAAGATAAAATAAGATAAGACAAGGTACAAAATTCTTGTAATTGATCCTAATAAATTGAAATACTTTTAGATTACATTTTCATCATTCGATTTCAGCAAATGCATATTCTAACCAAGAAAGCATTTAACAAATAGAACAACGTAAGCTCAACACATCTAAAGCATTAATCCAGGCATTCATGACCTTAAATAACGAGTCCTTTGAAATCCAGCTGCATGTTTTCGCGCATCTGGTACTTGTTGGCAGTTCTGATAACTGACCAAGCCCCCCCCCCACCCCAACACACACACCACCCCCAACCCCTCCACACCCAAAAAAGTATGTATTTGTGGCATCGAAAGAAGTCCTAAGTGGTTTGCAGTGACCAACTGATCTCATGGGGGACATCGTTTTCAGGGTACGAATCCATCAAACAAGTCTTTTTTTAATTTTTTTATTCACAGTTGCTTCATAATATAGCAATTTATGATCAACTGTAATAATGTCCAGGAAATGGTCGTATCAGAAGAGATATTTCATGTCAGTTTAAGAATAGTTTAGGGAAACAACAAACAAACGAATGGGGGCCGGGGCTTGGGGGGAGGGGGGGTCATAATTTACAGGCAGTACATATCACTAGGCGTTAGCAGGGATTAATTAGATCAATACGTCTCACTAGACGTTAGCAGGTATTAATTAGATCAATACGTCTCATTAGACGTTGGCACGGATTAGATCAATACGTCTCACTAGGGATTAGATCAATACGTCTCACTAGGGATTAGATCAATACGTCTCACTAGGGATTAGATCAATACGTCTCACTAGGGATTAGATCAATACGTCTCACTAGGGATTAGATCAATACGTCTCACTAGGGATTAGATGTACATGTTGTAGAAGGTTTCACTAAAATTGTGTTGAAAGATAACCGAATGCCTTTGGCAATGTGGTTATACCAAGGGGAGGGGGGGAGGGGGGCTGGTTGTTGTTGTTGTGGTTGTTTTACTGTTAGTCTTGATCAGATTATTCTGTTGTCATTAAACATTATTTGGTCTCTGTTTCATACGTTCAAGTATATGTGACAATATGCCATGTGTTTGTTTTGCTATACTAGCATCTTTTTTTTTAAATACGTTAAAAATTATTACAGTTGAGGGGATGTTGAACACTTCTTGACAAATGGGAAAACTTTCTATTTCGGAAATTTTGGCGATTAAATTTTTAACTAGATATATATTTTTTTTCAAAATCAGTCACTATACATGAATGTGTGATCACTCACTATTCATGAATGTGTGATCACTCACTCTAAATGAATATGCGAACACTCCCTATACATGAATGTGTGATCACTCACTCTAAATGAATATGCGAACAATCACTATACATGAATGTGTGATCACTCACTCTAAAAGAATATGTGATCACTCATTATACATGAATATGTGATCACTAGTCTTTAACAAATCAATATCTTTTACTTACTTTAAAAAAAAACTTAAGTCGAAGATTTGAAAATTATTTTTTTAACAATTATTTTCAAATATATATGTTAAAAGACATAAATTGACTAAGTAGACAAAATAAGATTGTTAGGCCTGCACCCTTAACCAACAAAACAACACACACAATAAAAAGTAGAATGAGAAAAAGAAAAATCAACAAGATAGTTTATCTATCTACAAACAAATGTTGCCTGTCGTTAAAGTGGTAGTGTATAAAAAGCTCTTGTGATAATTGTGTGACCGTCATCATAGAACATGCGAGAAAAGACGCATCTGTTCAATCCTAAAATAGTCATCAAGAGAAATGTGACCCTTCTTTAGTAGGAACAAAACCACAACAAATAATCTTTCTTCTGTGAGGTGAAAAGGTGTCGGTTTTCAGATATTCGTTCCTTACATTTTGTTGAACTTGGTAATACTCCTTTTTGCTAAGCGTAGAGACAAAAACATTTCAGAAATTTATTTTTTAATTTTTTATTATTTTTTTTGGGGGGTTAAATTATTAAACATAAGAAAGAAGACTTTCAAATGCTGGAAACAAACAAAAAGATGTTTGTGTCTTGATAAATCTAGTTTTAACAAATGAGAATACGTTGCTCTTGACAAGAAGTTCTTTCAAAAATAACAATGCAATGGATATTGTTACTTCTAGGTGCGCGTACAACAATCTTAATTTGTTGACCGCGATGAATCGCAAACAACGTCTTTCAGAAAGATAATACTTCACGAACAATCGTTTTACAACGGCTGGAGTTGGTTGGGGGGTTTTTTCCCCCCATAGGAAGCAAACGTTTGAAGATGTCAAATTAATCAGAGCACCTGACCTCTTTATTGATCTAGAAAGCGGAAACTGTGTACATTATCTTGTGCAAAATGAAATGTGTGTTTAGTCCTACTTTCAAATGGTTATCTGACATGTGATCATGTTTGTCCCCAGACAGTTACAAATATCAGACTTTTTACACCAATTATTCTCTATAAGGAATGGCGTCAGTGAACCCACCAAGCCGAAATTTTTATGTACCCCCACCCCTTTTTCCCCAGGAATCCCTTTTCGCGAGCCCTGTCCTCCACCACCCCCTTCAAGAGGAGGCGTTTTGGGAAGCGGCTCCCTCGATATGTTTAACTCTAGTGGTGAACCATCCGGATACCCCATGAACGCCAAAGGGGTATAGCTTCGTTTCTTTTTTGGTTTTATTTTCAACCCTGACTTAATAGGGGATGGATTCCAACTCCTGACTACTGTCCGCCACTGCTAATCCGAGAGCAAAACAGAATCATATGGGAATCTTCGTTGGCACTTCTCATTATGAAGGTTTTCTCTGCTCTTCAGCCACTTCGATCTCAGTAAATATATCAATAGTTTTACTTATTTAAAGCACTATTAAAAAAAAAAGAAATATGTTTGGGAAAATTGCCCCTCTCCCTCAACCACCCAAAAAGGAACAAATATAAATATCGATAAATTCTACTCTGTTAACATTTTGTGGGGGGGGGGGGGGGGGGGGGGCAAGTAGAGACCGACCAAAAGTGATTTTCTGATTTCGGCAGAAACCGAAACTAGGCCGAAAGTTAAAAATGACTTTTGGCCGAAACCGAAGCCGAAACCAAAAGCTTAACGAGATTTTCGGCCGAAACCGAAATATTTAGATATTTTGAAATTCGTTCACCTATACATTCAGCATACATCGAGAGATAATGGGGGAAAGTTTAAATATTTAATTTTTTTTAATTTAAAAAATAGGATAATTGTGTTAATAAATAAACGTCTAATTAATACTTTGATTTTTACCATTTTAATTTAAAAGTAATTTAAATTTCTTTAAAATGTTGTTGTTTTTTTAAAAAAGTAGTATGGTAAGAGAAAATTTGGATTTATTTTTTAACAGTGTCTATTAAAATTGTTTTTCTAACGGGTCTCAACGGAGAATCGCAAAATACATCTAAATTGGTCGCCAAAATCATAAAAGTTAGCAGTTCTGTACTAGGCTTACTACATACTTTTTATACGAACCAGTGATCCATGCACACTTATGTTATTTCGTCAGTAACAATGTTTAGGAGCGTGATTATGATGAATTTCAAGAAATAAATATTTTAAAGAGCCCACGTTTCCTTAATTTTAGTTATTTTTAAAAAAAATATATAAAAAAATAATAATAGACATATTACCATTCTCTAAGATTACTCAATATTATTTACCTATGCCTATGAAAAAATTGATTAGCATGATAATGATAAATCAAAAGGAATATAACAAATGAATGAATTGAATAAACATAGGGTTCCAAATTTGATTTTTGTAAAAAGTATTTAAAAAAATAATGATATAAATATTATCATTCCATTAGTTTTTCTTCCACAAAATTGTTTTCATTTGCCTCGGCCTAATGAAATTTTTTTATTTTTTATTTTTTTTTATTTTTTTTTTAAATGAAGGACAAGTAGGTCATCATGTAGCTGTAAACAGTTTTCGCTGAGTATTATTCATATAACATACGAAAACAGCATGCGTCAAGCAATAATGAATATCGGATTGTCGGCCTGGAGACAGACAGACAGTCTGACTTCTGGTAGATGACCAAAAAAATCAGTCACTTTCGGCCATCTGGCCGAAACTATCAATCACTTTCAGCCGAAACCGAAATTAAACCGTAAGTTAACTTTTCTGTTTCGGTCGCAACCGTTAAATTTAACCGAAAGTTAACATTTCTGTTTGGTCCGAAACAAGGCCGAAAATGATCAAATGGCAACTTTCGGCGCCGAAATTCTGTCGGTCTCTAGAGGAAAGAGAAGAATTTTTGCTGGCAACGTGAAAAATAGTAAATAAAAATAATGCAATTGATTCTTTTAAATCAGGTCTGCACAACTGCAAATGTAAGGCAGGCCGTAATACTTTATGAAAAACTTGTTCGGGCCGAAAGAAAATAGGGAAAAAAAAGAAGATAATAATAATAATGAATATCTCGCTACTTCGTGGACCGCAAAGTGGGTGCTTGCGGGCCGCATGTGGCCCGCGGGATGTATATTGTGCAGGCCTGCTTTAAAATACATTTATAATTTTTTTAAGTAGTGAACTTCTTCATATTTAAAATACACAAATATAGTTGCCTCGTGCTAGATGCAAAGTACTAAACAATCTGTATAAATATGGATAGTTTCTCAGCATAATTTTAAAATTATTAGATCGCCTATGTATTGTCCGAAATGCTTAATTTTCTCGTAAACAAAGATTTAATTACAAATAATAAAATTAAAGCGATACCGGTTAAAAAATATGTTAATATGTCATTTATTTATTTTTCTGAATATTTGTTCTGTTATTCTTTTGATTTTCTACCTTTTTATTTTTTATTATTTATTTATTTTATTTGTTTGTTTTTTTTAATTCATTTTGGGAATAAATTGTTCTTGTTTAACAAGATGATTAAATAAAAGAAAAGAAATGACATGTTAACATATTTTTTTTTCAAAAATTTAATGTTTATATAGCGGTAACAATTTTCTATTGGGCTAGAACTATTGCCATATGACAGTGGTCCTTAAACTCAGTAACCTTTGAACCCTTCATTTTTTTTTTTTTTAGTTTTGTAAACTAAACTAGAAGAAAGCGAAAACCCAACACGAATAAGATAACATGACCACGAGTTATTTTATAAATGCCAAAATTCAAAGCATTGAATTCACCAAAAGCCAACATTAAATGATTTGCAATTTTACGGTGAAACTTTTTTTGAGAACCTCCGTTGAGGCCCGATTTGGAGTCACTAACTGATCGAAACGTGTGCCTAACCCTTGCAGCATAGATCATAAGCGCGTGCCCGGACGACATAGCGGCTACCATGGCAGCGTTGATCACAGCTGTGTTTGTTTGTGTTTTCAACGCTCTGATCTCGGTGTGCGCCATTTCAGGTCAGTGTTGGCTAATCTTATACATTTGTATTCGTTGTGTGCACAGGCGTTGGAAGGGCGGGGAATGAAGGGGGTGGGCTGGGGGTGCTGTCCCATGGGGAGAGCTTTAGCGGAAGGCACTTTTTAAGGAGGCAGCATTTTCGGCTCACTTAGACTAATATATAACTTAGGGAACATGCATTAATTATGTCAACAATTTTTAGGCATTTTTTTTTACCTCCTCCCTCCCTATTGTCAACAACTGTCAAACTTTCAAGCCCCTCACTTTTGTCAACAACTGTCAAACTTTCAAGCCCCTCAATTTTGTCAACAACTGTCAAACTTTCAAGCCCCTCACTTTTGTCAACAACTGTCAAACTTTCAAGCCCCTCACTTTGTCAACAACTGTCAAACTTTCAAGCCCCTCAATTTTGTCAACAACTGTCAAACTTTCAAGCCCCTCACTTTTGTCAACAACTGTCAAACTTTCAAGCCCCTCAATTTTGTCAACAACTGTCAAACTTTCAAGCCCTTCACTCCTGTCAACAACTGTCAAACTTTCAAGCCCCTCACTTTTGTCAACAACTGTCAAACTTTCAAGCTCCCCCCTTTTGTCAACAACTGTCAAACTTTCAAGCCCCTCACTTTTGTCAACAACTGTCAAACTTTCAAGCCCCTCCTCCAATTGAATTACGTCAAAAATTGTTTAAGTGTCTTTTTGAATGCTTAATTTATTGAAATCGGAAAAAGGGGGATAAAAAAAAAAGTAATATCTTTGACTAGATTAAATTTTATATGGCGGAAGTGTAGGAATTGCTGCAGAGCTAGAACGTCCATAAAAATAGACCCGGAAAAGACCTCACAAATTCAACTTTTAAATACGCTGGCAGTATTTTTTATTAGAGTAAACATTATGAGCCACGTAAAAAAAAATGAAAAAAGAAGCTATGTATAAAAGAAGCTATGTACAAAAGAAGCTATGTACAAAAGAAGCTATGTATAAAAGAAGCTATGTACAAAAGAAGCTATGTACAAAAGAAGCTATGTACAAAAGAAGCTATGTACAAAAGAAGCTATGTACGTCGGTGACTCCAGGATCAGTCGTGCTCCACACTCCTGACATGGATTGCATTTCCGTGTATCGTCTTCCGTAAGCAATTTGTATCGTTAATTTGAAATCAAACCCCCCCCCCCTCCCCTCTACTATTTTGTTATGTAAATCTTTTTCTTTTTAAAGGCCTGTCGGAACCAGAAGTATTTACCGCACCATCAGACACAGGTGTCACGCATGCAGAGATCGGCAGCTTGTCTCAGTACATGTCCCGCCTGGAGCTGGAGATGAACGACTTCAAGAAGTACATCACCCACGAGATGGCCGTGAACCCTGCCCTCGCGGACGTGGAGGTCGACCGGTTACAGTCTTTGATCTTCCAGAAGTACCACCACGGCGGCCACGACTACCTCATGTCGTTCTATCAGCCTCACTCGGCCGCCAACACCGAGGCGGCGTGCGAGGCCATGGGCGGGTACCTGGCGGAGGTGGACACGAAGGACGAGTTCGAATTCCTCAAAGGCATCATCGGGACGCCGATCGCGAAGGGGATCGCCTTCGTCATCGGGGGCACGGACGAGGACCGGGAGGGTCACTGGGTCAACCGTCACAGCGGGTCGCCCCTGGGGTACACCGAGTGGGGGCTCTTCCAGCCGGAGAATTCGCATTTCAACGGCCTGGCGGAGAACTGTCAGATCATCGATTACAAGGCCTGGAGGGACGCCTTGGCCATGAACGATGCCGTGTGTTTTATCAACTCTGGTGTCCTAGGTTACTACTTCATCTGCGAGGTACCAACATAAGAGTTATAAATCATGGTGGGGGGGGGGGGGGGCCTTTTTTTTGTGTTGTCTCTCTCTCTCTCTTTAATATTTTCCTAATTATATAAAAATGATTGCCTATTACCAAAATGGCTGATTGCAATCTCGTTTATTAAACAGTATGATGCAATGCAAAGAAATGCGTGTAAGATCAAGCATGTCATGTGTACGGTGGTTTATGCTAAAGGAGGAATTTTTTTTTTCCTACGAAATCAAATTATAGATTCTGCGTTAATTTCATGTCTAAATATGTAAATATAGGCTGAGCAAATAAGGCCTCTTAAGTTTATACCTAAAATTATGTGAAATTGGTGATGAAATAAAAGAGGGGGGGGGGGACAATTTTCTCAAAACTTGATCTTGTGACTAAGTCTTTTTGAAAGAAAAATGTTGTGTCGCGTATTTAATGAAAACGTCTATTGGTGGGAAAGAGGGGTTATGTTGTGTCGCGTGTTTAATAAAAAGGGGGGGGGGGGGGGACAATTTTCTCAAAACTTGATCTTGTGACTAAGTCTTTTTGAAAGAAAAATGTTGTGTCGCGTATTTAATGAAAACGTCTATTGGTGGGAAAGAGGGGTTATGTTGTGTCGCGTATTTAATGAAAACGTCTATTGGTGGGAAAGAGGGGTTATGTTGTGTTACAAACCTCTTCTCCGCCCTCCTCATTACGACGAATCGCAGTGAACTTACTTTTCATCTCCCCTGTTCTTTCTTGCACGTATTTTAATCTGTCAATTACATATTATGTCCTGTCACATATCTCTTGCTGTCCTCTCGAATAATATTTTACACCACAGCCAAGTGTTATTTATATTTAATTTTTATTATGTTTTTACTGTTGTTTGTTCGCTGATGTAGGCTTCTTGCCGACACGTGTGTTGTTTTGTTTTATTTTGCTCATTTCTTTTGTATGGGTATATCTCAGTGTGGTGGACACGAGAAAAGAGTAGGTGTCAACAATATTCCTCACTTTGTCATGTGACAGACGGGTGACAAGTGAATGGGTAACATTAAAGTATTATTTTTATCTGCGAGAACACAAGCATGGTGTTATCCTGGAAGATGGTCTCCAACCTCACCCATTGTCGTTTCTGAAACTTTCGTTCGTCCTTCGCATGCGAAGATAACCTAGGCTATATTCGACGGTGAGTACGCAGGTGGCTTGCCAGTCCTATTCGTGTTTTCACCAGTTGCACTCATGTGCAGGGCGCACTTTTTTGGGGTCCTTTGTGGGGGTTGGGGGGGGGGGGGGCTATTATGCTTTTCCTTGTCGTCCGCTTTGTTTTGGCGTAAGGGCGGGTTTACTCTCTGAACAGCGTCCTTCAACAGCGAGCCCGCCTCAACAATGGCGGTCAATGTATGAACCAAAGATTTGAGTGAATCCGCCATATAATTTGGTGTTCACCTAAAACGCCTCTTCTATTTTATGGCCTTAAAAAAAGCTCCCGAATAACGTCACATCTTTCAACCAGCTTGCCTATGTGAGTAGCATACTCTAAAGAGTTGAAAGTTTGGCGATCGGCCCACACTCTAATGCCTATTAAACCTAGAAATATAAAGTTTTTAACTGTAAAACGACCAGTACCTTTGGCTGTACATATGGAATACTTTCATCGTGAGTTTCGATGTTGAAGACGAAACCCGTGGCATTAAACGGTAAGCCTATATATAAATATATTTTGCATAGTAGGGCGATTTTAGGGCGCCCGGATATGTCTACCCCTTCCCCCAACACAGAGACGTGGCTAGAGTGTTTGGCGCCCGGGGACAAGATTCATTTTAAAGCGCCCCCTTTTGCTTTTTCAACTCTCAAACCCATCATTTTCATCAATAAAACAATAATATTAAGACACATTTTGGCGCCCCTGACTAAGCAGCGCCCGGGGGACATCTATCCACCCTGCCCCCCTTCGCTATGCCTCTGTCCCCACCCCCCTTAGTCACCTTCCAATACCGCCTACTCCTTAAATTTAAAGGAATCGAGAACCTAATGTTTAACGGCAAGGTGTTTGATTATTTCCCTTTGATTTTGAAAAATAATTTAAACTTTAAATTTAAACCAATACAAATTTCAAAACCTTCTGGAGAAGAAGAGAAAGGAAACCCGTACCAGCAGTAGAGCAGTTTCAAAGTGTATCACTGGATATCTAATATCTGTAAACTTATTGGCCTTGTTTTTTTAAATCTTTCCGATGTTGACGAATGAAGGCTTCAAAAGGAATGTGGCTCAATGATACGGTGAGTCAACACATTGTATCAGAACAACAAAAGTGACATGACATGCAGCACGATCTGTATGACATAATGGGCAAAATTGTGCACATGGAATAACATCGGCTTAACTGCTACTGAGCAGATCATACAGATCTGTCAAATGATATCACCCACAATAGCTTCAGTTGACTCTGAAGCTAGTGGTTAAAACACTTTGAGATACGGTCATGCGATCATGTAGAAGTAGAGCATCAGTGGGAACAAGATTTAGATTGCCCAGATCCCAAACGTATCTACACATCTTGCGGGGTGGAAAATAGAACATTCCTCTAATCTTTCTGGGTGGAAAATAGAACATTCCTCTAATCTTGCTGGGTGGAAAATGGAACATTCCTCTAATCTTGCAGGGTGGAAAAGGGAACATTCCTCTAATCTTGCAGGGTGGGAAAGGGAACATTCCTCTAATCTTGCAGGGTGGAAAAGGGAACATTGCTCTAATCTTGCCGAGTGGAAAAGGGAACATTCCTCTAATCTTGCCGAGTGGAAAAGGGAACATTCCTCTTATTTTGAAGGGTAAATGAACTTATCAATGTTTGTGTCCATTGTTGTCATCACACACGTTCATCCCATACCACACCATACATCCCATGCCACACCATACATCCCATGCCACACCATACATCCCATGCCACACCATACATTCCATGCCACACCATACATCCCATGCCACACCATACATTTGCCACACCATACATCCCATGCCACACCATACATTCCATGCCACATCATACATCCCATGCCTCACCATACATCCCATGCCACACCATCAGAAGAACAAAAAATGTTAGTTTATTTTGAGATTGTGTTTATTGATACATTTTATTTCAATTGTTTTCAATTGAGGACAAACTAATCATTTTCAATAATAGTACATTTAATCAAACTTTTACATTATAATTCATTTTGATTAACACATGAAAATGGTGACAAGATATCTGGTCTAAAATAAATATAATTTCACAAAGTGATGTCTGTCACATAGCCCCTTAAAACAAGTCATCTAATACTGGCACATGCCTGACACATTTTTTTGTACGAAAGCTTCAGTTATAAAGAATCATTTAACATACAATGCTGCAAAAGTAACTTGTCATGTAAATTGTACCCTTTGACGCATTGTTTTTTTTAATGGTTTCATTACACTCAACAAGGAACTCTTGCCACACCCCAGGTGATGACAGAATCCTTACTAAAGCTAAAGTTAAGCTTTCTAAAATGCATTGCTACATTCTAACTTAGATCTATTTCTTAGGCTCTTCTCAACACTGAAAGTTACAGATACCTGCTGATCCATATTTGCACAGACTCTCTTGTCTCTCACATTTGATCAATATAATTAAGAATTTAGCACATTGTGGTTTTTATTAGGCCCAAAGTGTTAGCACAAAATGAAATATATTTATAAGTATATATAGGATAAGCAATGTTGATGATAAGTTGAATACTAATCATGTTGATGGGTCAAATAAATTAAGACTAAAATAACACCAAAAAAATCAAAAGGACAACGGCTTTAGATTGCTACAGCCCTCAACTTTCAGACTTGGCAGCAGTGGTGTTATTCTGATTGATGGAGGCCAAAGTTTTCCTGATTTCTTCTATCATGTTACTACGTGGCACTTCTCTCTGGAGATTGATAAAACAAATAAGCAGTTGACACCAACCATAGAAAGTAAGGACCACTAATAACAGAAATATAATTTATGTTAAGTTAGTCAACAATTCTGACCAGCTGAAAAGGTAAAGCACCACACATAGCAGAAGATTATCTTAATGTTTTCTTAATTATCGTGCTTCAGTGATAACTGGGAAAATGTAACATTTTCTTTCCTTAAAACACACATGCCACTTCATTTGGCATTGAATTTGAATATACCTAACCATAGACATAGAAGCATCAGACATCTGGCTTAAAATAGGGCTAAAATATTGTGCTCTTCATTAGGGGTGTGCCGGATCCGTTTTTTCCAACCGGATCCGGATTTTCTTATGCGAAATCCGCCGGATCCGGATTCCGGAATAATCCGGATTCCGGTTTCTCCCGGATTCCGGATTTTGGTACTATTGGTAGATACTTCGGTAAGTCAAGGTAGACTACTACTTTTTGTGTATGGGAATTCGCAATCGGCGCCAAAAAATCCGAGTTTTTAATTTTCCGATGTGTGTGTCTATTTATTATTAAATTAGTACTTTCGATATATATTTGAGTTCCGTTCCATTTGGATAAGTGTCTTACGAGAGACGCCATGTTTCTACGCGTTCGCAGCAGGTCATGCAGCTCGCTCAACCTAATTT